TCCGCGCCCTTCCCCGCGGACTCTGCCCGGGCCGCCGCTGGCCGGGCCCGGGGATGTCGCCCGGAGGCCCCTTCCACAGTGCACCGGTGGCGTCAGAGCCCGGAAAGTGAAGGCGCGCTTCCATCTCCGATCGAGCTTGGCCAGAGGAGCCGGGTGGGGATTATCTAACGTGTGCCTTTTACTTCTGAAAGTGGCCCGTTAGGTCTGCACATTAGCCGTAATTAGCCCCGTAGGCAGGGCTGCGCCTAGTCCCCCTGCCAGCCTTTTTTTCCCTTCACCTCCGTGTGGCTGGGCCCCAGGTACAGGTAGTGATGGTTCAGGTTTTAATTTTATGGGGTGTCCTGAGTAAGCAAACTCTGAAGCCTAGCCTTCTTTGAAATATTGTGTGTTTGATTTGAGCCTTTTCTGATCTGTTGGCAAACTGGCCTTTCCCCCACACTCCCCTGGACCCCATGGTGGGGGACATCTTTCATCATTGGGTCCTTTGGCACCATCTTCCTGTGAACTGGTATTTTAGAACTAAATGGGGGAAAGAAGGTATAGCAATCTGACAAATTAAAAACTATTCCTCACAGAAACAGTTCCTACCAAAAGTTCTTAAGAATCAAGTAGGCCTTTTCTCAGTGACACGGTTTGTGGTGACCCAGTTTTGTTTCCCCAAGTAGCGACCCTCTTAAGAAGATGGCTCCTCTGCCGAGGGACGCATGTACACTCGCTCTTCAGCCTGCGAGCCCTGAGTTTTGCAAGTGAATTTCATAACCAAACCCAGATAGATGTCTCAGATTGAGCTTTTGCCAACTCTCAAATGGATGATTTTCTGCGGACAGAAAAGTTCAGATTCTCTTTATATAATCCTGGCTTCTTTGTCTCCATATATTTGGCTTTGCTTTAAGTGAAAGTAGCAGAAGCCGGGCATGGTGGCACATGCCTATAATCCCAGCAATCGGGAGGCTGAGGCAGGAGGATTGCTGTGAGTTGGAGACCGGCCTGGGCTATGTAATGATTACCAGGTCAGGATCTTGGGGCTAGAAGGGCCCTCTCAGGTAGGGTAGACCATCACCATGTTGCTGAAGGGAAGGCTGGGCCCTTCAGGCTTCTGGGCTTGCTAGTGGCATTGTCCAGAGAATGTCTGGGGTCTCCTTCCTTAGGCTAGGGCTCTGTGCAGCAGCCTCAGGGCCTGGAGTTGGAGGGGAGGGATCTTATAAACTACCATGGGCATCACTGTTGGTGGTTACTGGATATGCCTGTGAGGTGGTAAAGGAAGTCGCAGGCCCTTCGGTGCCCCTCTGTGGTTTTGGGGAGGCCTGAGTCTGCTGCCCTTTGGAATCAGGGTCAAGACCCTCTGCTGTGGGCAGTGCCGACTTCCTGTAGTAAATATCTGACGCAGTGTGGTGGCGCTTTGGTTTTGATAATCACCCTCACCATTTAAAATAGAGCTGGCTATTGCCTGCCTCACAAGCACAAGGACCTGGGTCTGATCCCCAGTACCTAAATAAATAAAACAGAGCTGGCTATAGGAAGGGGCAAGTGAGAAGGCTTTGATGTTCAGACGGGGGCCTGTCATGGAGGTCACCATCAGGTAATGGGACATCCACTTTGTCTAATCTTGTCTTCAGAAAACAAGCACAATTGAATGACAGGATTTGCCCAGAGAGTCTGGGTTGCTGAGGCTGAGACCTAAAAAGTGTTGTCTTGACCCGCCCTGGGTGACAGAACACTAGCCTTTAGCACCTGCCTCCTTGTGCCTTCCTGTGGCCCTCCTAACTGCCAGGGCCTGGGGAGGTTGCTGGGGCCTGCACTCTCCTTGTGTGGTTACCGGGCAGCGTCCTCCCTGCTGCCTTTCCTTCGTGCAGCAGCCAGCCCGTGGGGAAGTGCACTGCCTGGTGTCCACTGGCAGGCTCCTCCAAGCTGCATCTCCACTCCTGGCATCAGGCTCCTGCCCTTGGCAGCCAGGGCCCTGGAGAAAGTGCTGAGGCTGCTGTGCACAGGAGCTGGGCATTCAGAGGCCATGAAAGCCCAGGTTGGAAGGGGCCAGAAATGCATGAACTCCGCAACCTGAAATAACGTCCCTGCCGTGTAGCCGCCACTCGCTGCCTACTGCACAGATTGTGGTGTGTCATCTCTGACCATGCTCACACCCATAACTAGACACATTAGCGATTAAAGGGTTCTGCCTGATGGCCGTCTCCAGGGTGACAGGAAAGCCTCTGGTTCTTTCACCAGTCCTTGGAGTGGCAGAGCTAGTCCTGTCCCTGGAGCTAGGAGCTGGCTTGGGATTTTGTTAATGTGAGGAGTACCAGACAGGTCCCAACAAGGCCCCCTACACCCCACATGCAGCATTACAGTATTTGGCTTCCGATTAAAATTGAATGCCTGGCAGTCTGGCTCTGGCAGGTCCTGGTGACAGTGCTGGGCTCCCTGAGCAGTTCCCGCTCGCTCATGCCTGTGCTCTTGTCATTCTTTCCAAGGGGCTCCCTGCCTTGTACCATAAAGAGGTGAGGAGCTGACTCCCTCTCTGCTTGCTGGTCTTTTGGGGTTTTTTGGTACTGGGGATTGAACTCAGGATCTTATGCTTTTGTGGCAGGTGCGGTGCCACTGAGCTAAATTCTTGGGTTTGTTTGTTTTTTTTTTTTTTTTTTTTTGGTACCGGGGATCGAACTCGGGTCCTTGTGCTTGCGAGGCAGGCGGCAGAACCACTGATCTAAATCCCTGGCCCTTGGGTTTGGTTTTTTGAGGGAACATCTCACTTTGTAGCCCAGGCTGGCTTCCAACTCGCACCAGTCCTCCTCTTCAGCCTCTCAAGTGTTGGGATTGCAGGCATGCACCACCATGCCTAGCTTTGCTGGTCGTAACAGGATCTTAAAAGTTGTGCCCTTCTGGGCAGTGGGCAGGGCCACAGGGGAGACTGGTTAGTGGCTCCCCCAGAAGATGGATGGAAGATAAGACCTGGTTCTCCCCCAGGGGCAGGGTCACTTATCACACTGTATTTCGCATAGCAGATGGGTGACCCTGTGGCATATGGCCTTCAGGGCAGTACCGGAGGGACCCCTGCCGGGGTTCTTCAGTTGCAGCCGACTCCTGTTCCAGCCCCAGCTCTGCCTGGTGCTGGAGTAGTCACAGTCTCGTTTCCTAGGGCGTATGGACTTGTGGGCCCCAGAATGGGGCAGCCCCAGCGCGTGATGATCAAGGCGATCTGACCTACCTTCTCAGAGTCCTCACTTCCTTTCCTTCCTGAGCACCCACAGAGGGCCAGGGTTTCCGCGCAGGGTGGAGCTGCCTACAGGTGGCCTTGCTGTTGAGTGCCTGGTCCTGTCTCAGCAGCCTCAGGTCGGGGATAATTGCATTCCGAGACCCTGCCAGTCTCTCCATGATACCTACCTGTGAGGTGGCAAGGCTTGAGAGGAGCCCGCCTGTCGTAGTGGGCCGCCCCCTCCACAAGCTGTCTGCCTGCCCCCACTGCTGCTCTCCTGTCCTGCTCCTGTAACAAGGGCCCTGGTCATGGGCTTTATGTGTTTGCAGTGTTCATGGCAGCCTGGGCCATCGCCTTGCATCTGAGGGCTGCACTGTGGCCTCATCTGGCCATGCCCCCATCTTGTGTGCTGAGGGGACAGAGGCTCTGGGACACTCTCTAGAGCAGCACACATCAAGTGGGGTCTGGCCTTGCCATTAGTCTTGGCTCTTCCTTGTTCACATAGATGTTCCTCAGAGGAGCGCTGGCTCATGGGAGCCCTGTGCCAGCCTGACTGAAGAGCAGTCACATGCACTTGCCTCCAAAAGGAGCCACCACATACAGGAGACTGCCTCGTCCAGCGCTCACAACTTCAGTTTTGTGCTCTTCTCCCAAAGCAAATCGCTGTGTGGGTCTCCTGCCCTGCTGGCTTGCCCCTCCTTCTGTGGCTGTCTGTGGCTCTTTAATCCTCTTGACCCAGACACCCCAATTAAGAGTAGCTGACTCATCAGGAGGCTTTTAAGCACGGCCTCAGTCTCGCAGGCCGTGTTCCCAGCAAATGAGCTGCTTGGTGTGGGTTGTGGGCCCAGGGAGGGTCGACCACAACCTTGGGGCGGCGGTGCTCACCTGCAGGCATGGCCCATGTAATCATGTCAGCAAGCCGGTTGCCACTGTCAGGGGAAGCAAGTCAGAACACCTCCAGTGTCTCCGCTGCCTTGGGGGTCCACACCCCGGGCAGTCCCTCCATGAAGCACCTCCTTCCTGGCAGTGGGTTTTCCCCAGGTGTAGAAGAGGCAGAGGCCTTTGTCTCCGGCAGGCTTGCTCAGTGGCCATGTGAAGATTCTTCCCTGTAGCAACTGGATCAGGAGCCACACTGATAATGTCTGTTATCTCTTCCCAACCCTGGTGATTACACTGTTGCTTGGCATTCTGAGAGCATTAGTGCCGTGTGGCAGGAACGGGTGCTGTGTGGCGCCAGCTGTCCCCAGATCTCCTGTGGGTCACTGTGTATGTGTGTGTTTCCCACAGGACTCTAAAACTCAGCCAGGCATATCTGGGGCCTCCCTCCCTCCCTTCAAGGCAGGGTTGCCCAAGCTGGTTTTGAACTTGTGGGTTCAGGTGATCCTCCTGCATCAGCCTCCCAAGTGCTGGGACCAGTTTGTGCCGACACACCTGATTATTTTAAATTTTTTTCTAGGCATCGTATATACTTGATTAGGGCTGGGGATTTAGCTCAGTGACACTGCGTCTGCCTTGCAAGCTCTCAAGTTCAATCCCTGGTGCCAAAAAAAAAACCCAGAAAAAAAATTTTTTTTTTTTTTTGTTTTTTGTTTTTTGTTTTTTTGAAACAGCATCTTGTTCTGTAGTTCAGGCTGCTGGGAGTTTTTGGCTTTTTTTTTTCCTGGTTATTTTTAAAGCAAGTCTTTCTTCCTCCTCTTCTCCTCTGCTTGTAGGTTTTATGACTGCAAATTATAAAGAATCTTAGTGACCCCTTGTTAAACTGTCTCACTTTGCAGAGACCACTCCCCACAGCTCACCTGCTCTACACCCACTGTACACCTCCTCTGGCTGGTGTCAGGACAGTTAAAACACGAGCACCAGGCCTTCCTCCACCTGTGCTCTTCCCACACCCGCCTGGGTGATCTGTGGCTGTTTGTCTGGGATGCGTCTGTCCCTGACTTGAGAATAGTGTGTGGAGTGGTGACACAGGCTCAGGCTTGGTTGGTGTGAAGGGATTGGCCACGGGGCTCCCTCCGAGGGCTGAGGCTGAGCCGAGGGCCCAGGTGCCACCAGCTACACAGCAGCTGTGGCAGTGCTCAGGCTCTGGGGGACTTGTGGAGACACTGATGATTGAGGAAGCTTCCTCTGTGCCTCTTGTTATTTCAGCAGTAGTCACGGCCAGCCCAAGTGCGCCCTCGTGACCCACATCCACTCAGCTGCCCTTGGACGGGCAGACTCTGCCCTTTAGACTCTTCCTGACGTGTCACTCCTGGGGGCAGGGCCCTGATCTTTCTCCCAAGGGCCCGCCGTGTTATCACTGGATTTCTTTCACCTGTATTTGAGCTCTGAAGCGCATAAGGGAGAAGTACGTGGTGTACACCTGTATGACATTTGCACCTGGCTCCAGCAGGGCATGCTGGCGTCCTGAGCAGGCCGTCACAGATGGCCTACCTTGCAGTGACAGCAGGAAGCTAGGAGGGTGTTTTCCCCTCCCATCATTTGGTGGTTTCACACACTTGCAGTTCATTGCTGTTCACAGATATGCTCATGCTGCTGTGGACATTCAAGGGTAACTGGTAATGTAAACAGCCTCCAGCTGCCCCTGTGCCCCCCACCCCACAGCCCAGAGCCGTGTTCTGTCTGGAGGCTGGCAGGTCCATGAAGGTCAGCACCTGAGCTGTGTGCAACCTGCCCAGCCCCAGGATTCAGCTGGTGTAAACTGGCTTTAAACTCACAGTGATCCTCCAGCCTCACCCTCCTGAGTGTTGGGATTACAGTTGTGTGCCACACCCAGAATGCCCTTGCCCTTTTTTTTTTTTTTTTTTTTTTTTTTTGGTTTTTTGAGACAGGATCTCACTACGTAGTTGAGACTGACCTGGAACTCACTATGTATCCCAGGCTGGTCTTGAACTCGCAGCGATCCTCCTGCCTCAGCCTCCTGAGTGCTGGGATTACAGGCGTGTGCCACCACGCCCAGCCTGTTTGCTCATTCTAACACTAGGGACTGGACATGTGGTGAGGACAGAGGCATTTTGGTGCCACAGCTGGGGGTGCGGGAGCTGTTCATGCCATCGCGTAGGTAGAGATTAGGGATGCTGTGCTGCTCAGGGGCAGCTCTGAATGTCAGGGTAAGGAGTGGCATGGCCATTTTAGGGTGCCTTCCTGTGATTGCCACTTGTTCATGCTCCTGACCGAGCATGGAAGCACCATTGTCTCGTGGCAGGTCTACCTTAGATGGTGCTAGCTACCATCTAAGTGTGGGAATCAGTGTCAGTGTTGTGGACATCGACCTACAGGGTCGGGGCCAGCACACCCTGTGCCGAGTCTTACCCATCGGCCCAAGCTTGGATTGTTGCGTGTGTCCAGACTCGAGGGAGTGCCTGGGAACAGGTGCCTGCCTACCTGCATCCTCCCAGAAGGCCCTAGGTTGTGTGCGGGAGGTAACGTGGGCTGGCCTCCGGGCTGCAGCCACCTCACCCTTGGTCTCGGGCCCTGCAGTTCCTGCGTGTCACCAAGCAGTACCTCCCACACGTGGCCCGCCTCTGCCTGATCAGCACCTTCCTGGAGGATGGCATCCGCATGTGGTTCCAGTGGGGCGAGCAGCGTGACTACATCAACACCACCTGGAACTGTGGCTATCTGCTGGCCTCATCCTTTGTGTTCCTCAACCTGCTGGGACAGCTCAGTGAGTGGTCTGAAGTTGCGCCAGGCTCACCCAGGGCACCCCATTCCTGCACAAACAGCACTCAGCCCAGAACAAGGCTGTTGGTGATCAGGAGAGTCTGCAGCCTGGGTGGCCATGCTGGCCAGGGTTTGTGAGCACTGGGCGGGTACCTGGTGCTCAGTTCTGGGCCCACTCCTTTGGAGCACAGTCCCTGTTCTGAGTGCCCCAAGCAGGGCGTGCTGGAGTCCAGGTGGCCAAGGCAGGCAAAAGAGGGATCCAGAAAGGGTGGAGGGCTTGGGTGAGCACAGCGGGGGCACCAGGGCCGCTGGTCTGCTCCTGGCCACCCACTGTCTTCTGGTGGCAACCCTCCCTCCCCTGCATGCTGCAGGGTGGAAGAGCCTGTTCCCAGCTGCCCATGGGTGAGCATAGGTGCCTCTGCTGGGTCGCCACTGGTAGACGGCATGTTGGCTGTGACAGTGAGGCATCCACGTTCTATACAGAGGCTCTCACTGTGCCAGTGTCTTACTCTGTGGGGCCTTGCCCACAGCAGCTCTCCTAGAAGTTGCTGTTGGCTTGGGAGGAAGATGGGCCACAACTGGACCAGAGAGTTGGGCGAGGTGGAAGTGTACCATGAGTGTCCCCAGCCCTTGATGTTCTCTTTCTAGCTGGCTGTGTCCTGGTGTTGAGCAGGAACTTTGTGCAATACGCCTGCTTCGGGCTCTTTGGAATCATAGCGCTGCAGGTACATAGGGCATGTGGTGGGTCTCACTTAGGAGTCACACTGCGGGGCACACAGCCAGGTCTCTTGATCTGGTAGAGATGAGTGTTGGGCCCAGTGTCCTCCCTTCAACCCTGTGTGTCTGGGTGTCTGGTGCCTGGAACCGCTTCATCTTTGGGAAAATGCTAGTGTTTCCTCCGCAAGCTCAGGAGCAGCCACCTTGAGTTGGCTTTAGAGGCTGGTTCCCAACAGGTGCCAGCACTGGGCACTGGGCCATCTTTTGTTATTTTCCTGAGTGTTCTGAGATGGTCATGGGTGACCGGGATGGCTGCAGCCAGGATGCTGACTGGCGATCACTTTCCTGCCTAAGCAGCAGTGCCTTCTTAGCCAGAAGGAAGCACTCACAGCCGGCTGTTTAATCCAGACCGGCAGTTTGAGGAGTCGCCTTGTCTGGCTTGTCATGGGCACAGCTCTGGTGATTAAGCAGGCGCAAGGCCACAGTGCACGGAGAAATAGTGAGCCAGACTGCTGAATGTGGGTCTGCCCATGGTGTCCAACAATGCTTCTGTGTATTTTATTCCCCTCTGCTGGATAAACTGCCAAGTCATTATTAAATCTATGGGACTTACTTGAAAACGCTGATGTGCTTCTCTGTTCTCAGACGATCGCCTACAGCATCTTGTGGGACTTGAAGTTTCTGATGAGGTAGGTGTTTTCTGGAGGTGAGTCTCGCATCCCTCCGCCGGTCCCTCAGAGTGTTGGCTGGAGGAAGCCTCCAGTGCACACTGTGCCTCCCGGGAGCAGACTTCGTAGTGTGTCACAGATCCTGCCCCTGGCCAGTAGGGTGGTGAGGACGTGGAGACCAGCTTAGTTCCGGTCGTGTGCAGGCAGCGCTCACAGTTGCTCTGGCTAGGGAGGCTGGTGCTGTGCACGCAGGCCAGCCTGGTCCTGCTTAGCACGGCGCGGAGCTCCCCTCAGCCTGGCCTGACAGCTGGATGCCAGGTGAGCTTCAGCTTTGAGCTGCTCATTGTCTCCCTCAGGAACCTGGCCCTGGGAGGGGGCTTGCTGCTACTCCTAGCAGAGTCCCGCTCAGAAGGGAAGAGCATGTTCGCAGGTGTTCCCACCATGCGCGAGAGCTCCCCCAAGCAGTACATGCAGCTCGGAGGCCGTGTCCTGCTGGTCTTGATGTTCATGACTCTGCTGCACTTCGATGCCAGCTTCTTTTCTGTGAGTACTGCTGCCTGCTGGGGGCCCGGTGGGGTCTGAACACACCCCGGGCACAGGAAGTGGCCCTTTTATCTCAAGCAAACAAGCCCCGTGCTGCCTTCTTTGCCAAGAGCTGCCTTCCAAAAGGTGGAGTCCAAGGCCACTGTCCTCCACAGGCCCCTCTGGCCCCACTCAAGCCCGTGCTGTGGGTTTATGTGCAGTGTTGGGGCAGAGGTGCTGGGCAGGAGGACAGTGTTTTCAGCCTGGATAGGTGGGTGGGTCAAGACACAGCCCACCAGCCCACCCTGGTCAATCACAGCTGGTCTGTCCGGGGAGATGGTTTCTCTCTCCTCAACCTTCCATGCTAAAAATGAGTGGCTCCATCTGGTCCCCCATGTGCCTCCTGCTGTCCCTTGTGTCAGTAGTGGTTGCATCAGCCTGGTAGAGCCCTTAGTGACATGGCCAACGGATGTGCCCATAAAATTCCATGCAGCTTTCTGCCATTTATTTTCGGCATCTTTCACCTTGTGCAGATCGTCCAGAACATCGTGGGCACAGCTCTGATGATCTTAGTGGCCATTGGTTTTAAAACCAAGTTGGCGGCTTTGACTCTTGTCATCTGGCTCTTTGCCATCAACGTGTACTTCAACGCCTTCTGGACCATTCCCGTCTACAAGCCCATGCATGACTTCCTGAAGTACGACTTCTTCCAGACCATGTCGGTGATCGGAGGCTTGCTCCTGGTGGTGGCTCTGGGCCCTGGGGGTGTCTCCATGGATGAGAAGAAGAAGGAGTGGTAACAGACAGATCCCTGCCCTGCCTGGCCAAGACCCAGCCGTCGAGGACTGGTTCAGGGTGGAGCCAAGAAGCTGCCAGCATTTGTGTCCTCCCCTCCCCTCCCTTGGTAAAGGCACCGATGTTTTGAGAACTTTATTTGCAGACACCTGAAAATCGATGAGAAGTCTGCTCTGGAACCAGTCTGGTACTGACCATTGAGTGCTACCCAGCTGGTCAGTCCCCCAGCCCAGGCTTGGAGCAAGTCCTGTGGCGGGTGTGGCCCCCAGCAATATTTTGAGTCCTTTTCTGCAGTGAGGGCCTTCCAGCTGTACTGAGCAGACACATTTATCACTCAGAGCAGTCTCCCTCGTTTCTTCAGTTTACATTTTGCTCAAACAGGATTCCGGATGGTCTGTTCAGACACCTCACACAGTTAAGCCCTGCATTCTAGTTACTTTCCAGCTCAGCCAGTGAAGACCTAGAGAATCCCAGAGCCAGGGAGCGACACAGTATTGGAGGGGTAACTGAGGCTGCTGGTGATGTAGGTTCACTCATTCACATGCTCGGCTGGGCACTGATCCCCACGCCTGGCAGTGGGGAGGGCCAGCTGGGAGGCTGCGCACAGGATAGCCAGCTCCACCATGGAATCGGCTGGGGGAGCAGCTGCCCCGCAGGGCTCAGCCCAGTTACCTCACTCGACCTTCAGAGCCAGGCCTGGACGCCCCAGCAGCCAACTCACTGTCCCTGAGGCGTTGCTTGCTCCAGTTTTGTCCAAGATTATGTCTCACAGTTTGTGATGCCTTACCGATTTGGTCTCAATCCTGTATTTAAAGTTTTCTAACATTGCCTTATATTGTGTCCTCTTTTTAGTGGGAAGGGGTCCGGTGCTATGGTTCTGCTCATCTGCATGGTCATAAAGGCCATGAGGGTGGCTGGGACTTCTCAGAGCCTCCCAGGCCCCTTGGGGCGAATGACCAGAGGCACAGCCCTGGAAGGGATGGTGGCAAACCCCGTTTGTGGCCAGGTGCCTCCCCAGGGCCACTCTGAGCGGGCAGTGATGGCCCCTTCCACAGCTCACTTCGTGGAAGACAGCAGCTGACACCTGTCCCTTGGTATCCCTTCTGACTGGCACAAACTCATGCCTAAGATCCAGCAAGGGCTTCAGGGCACAAGGCCCTGGCCTCTTCGTGGTGTCTGACCCCCCCACGAACACGGTGACAATCTCAGATGAGGCTGGCCATAGTGGTTTCTTTGAGGCCTGTGGTTGAGCCACAGGACGACACTGGCCCCAGGGCCAGCTTTGTCTTTAACTCAGGGGGCTGGCACCTGGGCTGGGGGGAGGGAGAAACCCAATCTGCCCATTGGTTTTGGCAAAAGTTTCTGAAAATGCTTTTGCTTTATGTGGGAATAGGTATCTCATTTTTATGCTGTATTTTATATCTTAGTTGTGTTGGAAAACATTTTAATTTTTCGAAACATCAAAATAAATAATGGCGTTTGTGTATGCGGCGTGATCCCACGATGGTGTGCAGGGCGCTCATGTGTGCAGCGAGCTGACAGCCTTGCCGGAAGAGGGGCGCACTCTCCTTGCCTCCCTGCTGCTTCCGGGTGCGGAGCAGGCCACCCAGCCCTGTCTCGGGGGTGAGGGGGATCAGCAAAGGTCAGAGGCTCCAATGAGCGAGGCGACAACCGAAGGCCTTCTCTGAGGTCCGTCCTAACCCGCCTGCTTGAAGGAGCCCAAGCTCTTGGGCCTGCGGTGATGGGTCTTGAGCTTCTTGGTCAGTGGGCCCTGCTGCTGTTGCTTCTGCGGCAGAGCAGAGAACTTGTTTAGGGCGGGCGGGCCAGCCTTGCCCCGGCACTGGCACGGGCACCGGGGCACTCCGCACATGCGCAGCCCTGCCAGCAGAGGCCCAGAGGTGGCCGCTTCCCGTCACCTTTCCCTGCAGTGTGTAGGGAGGGGCATCTGTCACTGTGGGTCTGCCCTTTGCAGCGAGGACCTGACATCCCCTCCCTTCTCTCCCACAGGGGACAGAAGGGCACTGCTCTGGGTTCCTGAGCCACAGGCCATAGCCACACCCACTATGACTGTGTGGGTGGTTCAGGACCCCCATGTCCTTGTCTTTCAGACCAGAGGTTGGGACCTTGCTCCTGGAGGCCCTCTTAATAGATCAGTACCCTCTGCTTCCCCTTAGAGGTTGTTGGCTTGTTATTTCACTTGTGAAAAAAGTTTTGTTTTAGAGACACAGTCTTGCTATATAGTGCAGGCTGGCCTTGAATTCATTGTGTAGTCCAGGCTGGCCTCAGACTTGTGCTGAGCCTCCTGCCTCAGTGTTCTGAGTGCTGGGATTACAGGCTTATTTTCCTAAACAAACTGAAACCCACTGCTGGGCAGGCTGCCTGCTGGTGACCAGAAGGGACAGCTTACCTTCCTGTGCTTAAAGATCTGCTCATGGGCCACTTCCATCTCCCTCCTGTCCCTGAGGCTCTTCCTTTCTGGGGGCCTTGGCTCCATCAGAAAGTCATCGGTGTCGCCCCCATTCTTAGGCCCTCCTGGGTCCTTTTTGGTGAACAGCTCGGCTAGGAGGAATAGGTACAGGGCTGAGGCTGCTGTGGGTGAAGCAGCGCCTTCTATAGGGAGTCACAGTGGCCTCCAGGGACAGCAGGAGGACACCTACCAGAGAGGCGGACACAAGATAGGCGGGGCAGGGCGTGGAGCTGCGGAGGCAGGACTGTGCTTACGTGGGTACAGGTCTGTCATGCTGTCGTCACTCAGGGCTGCCTCCTCGCCGCTGGATTCTGGCTGCCAGAAGGTGTCTTTTGGGCCCAGTGGCTTGTCCCCATCCATCTGGTATTCCCTTCTCCGCCTGTGCCGTAGGCAGGCAGGGACAAACTCCACGCCTTGCTTCTGACACTCCTCATCTGGGGACAAGCAGGCTCACTTGGGACCCACCACACCCTGGTTCTTTGGGCACCGAGCCAACCTGTGTGCCAGGGCTGTGCTCCACCTCACAGGATGAGCACCAGCACAGCAGAGTGGGCACCTGGACTCGTCCTACTGAGTACAAAGGGTGGTGCAGAGCTGCCAAGCCTAGGCTGCTTACCCAGAGCCTGGCCAGGCTGCGAGCACGTAGCCAGGGGGGGCGCTGCTCAGGCCAATGTGCACCCCCAAGACGCTGGGCAAAAGCCACACAAGCCTGATAAGCAGACAGAAGTCCAGGGCTATAAGAGCTGCCTGGCCCTGATGGCTCCTGGGCTTGGGATGAGACTTTGGGAAGGCCCTTGCTGAGGTCACCCTGCTGTCTCCTCCAGTTCCCAGGCTGTGACAGCTCAACTCTCCAAGTGTGAGCTCCAGGAACCAGAGGCCAACTCACTTATTAGGGAGACCAGCCTGCATTTCTGAGAGGGGAGGGAGAAACCTGAGGACGCCCCTTCCCCATCTTCCCATCCTTACACTAAGCCAAGTCAGCACTGACCCAGGCAGGACAGAGGCAACACGGCCTCTGCCCACTCCTCAGCTAACTTTCTTCCTGTATCCACCAAGTGGCTGAGGATGGTTTGTCTCCCTCTCTGAACCTGCAAGCCACCATCCCCTTCACCTGCATGGCACCTGCATGGCTGCACCGCCACACACTCGCCATCTCTGTATCTGCAGGCCTCGCAAACCGTGTCAGTCTCAGTCCTGACCACAGGCTCAGACGACCACAACATATCCTCTCTACAGAGCACAGGCCCTGGACCTAGAAAACCACCCTGGGAGCCTTCCAGCGCTTCAAAGGCAGACCTCTTGCTTCTACTGTGCACACCACGCACGGACTGCAAAGCAGGATTCTCCTCGGCCTGCTGCTGGCTCCACACCGGGAGCTCCGTGAGGCCAGGGGCCATTGTCCCTCTCCTCACTGGGCCAGGTTCAGGCAGATGCCTCACCTGGGGACCGCGGAAGGGTGACCTCACAGGGGGCGCTGGCCAAGGGGAGATGACAGCAGTTAAAAAGGCCTGTGCAGGGCAACTTACATTTCCGCAGCGCTCTCTGGTACCGGTGGCCCTGGGTGTGCCTCAGCACGTGTTCTGGGGACTTGTTGATGTGCCGCAGAGTGAGTTTGCAGAACAACTGGTGCCTACGGGCAGGGAGACCAGGGTGCAGGAGGCTCACGGGGGACCTATGGCACCGCGTGGCTGGAAGTGGGGGTGATGTAGCCTGAGCATAGGTTTTAAAAGATTCAGAAGCAAATCCATGCCGCGGCTGGAGTTGAAAGCACTGACCCACTCTGATTGTGACTCTTACTGTCGTCCGGAAGAGAAGCGCAGCAGCCTACCCCCCCAGGGGGAGCGCACGCGGGAGGCAGCCCGCGTGTCCGCCACCACTTCCTCCCTCAGACGGCGGCCCAGCCACATGCGGCACCCACACCGAGGGTCCCCGCGGCGGAGGTGGATCCTATCTCAGTCCCGGTACCGGCGCGCCGGCCACCTACGGGTGCTTGGTGCTGGGCACGATGTGCGGCTCGAACTCTGCGTAGTCGAAGACCGGGGAGGCGCGCGCCAGTCGCTGGTACTTCTTGCCGCGAGTGTAGACCTGCAGCTCGGGCAGGCGGCAGGGCAGCTCGTGGCCCGTCAGGGAGCAGCGCACCTGCGGAGGCGGGAGGGGGGATCAGGGCCCCGGCATCCCCCGCTCCCCACTGCACCCCTCCTCGTCCCCGCCCCTCCGCTCCCCTCTCCTTCTGGTGCGGACCCTGCTGGCGCCCGGGAGCAGCCGCAGGCTCGGGTGCTGGCTCAGGAAGGCCTGCAAAGCGTCAGACGGATCACCCATGGTGGGAACTGCCAGACGCCAGGCACCTAAGCGTGGGGCGGAGCGGCGCCCGGAAGTGTACGCCTCGCCCCGGAAGTAGACACCCCTGCCCCCGGAAGCGCTCCCTGGTAGCTGTAGTGATGGCGGCTGTAGTGATGGCTGCTGTGGCTCCTCGAATGCTGGGGCTGCGGGCGG